TACTACTACTGACTAGCAACGTAGCTGAGTGTTAGTAGTACTGGTACTATTATTGACGATTCTATTAGTCATAGGTGATTAAACGTCAACGTTCGGGCTCATACCCCTCGATCTCAACAAGGAGTGTGAATCTGGGTTTGTGCTATTCCGAGTAAATACATGTTTGAGGCCCGGAGCACATTAGGGCCTGCCTTGGGCTACGAGGACTAGGATACTGCTGTTAGAAATAATGTGCTTATGCTAAGAGTGCTAATTCTAGTAGTCATACTTACTAAGACCAACTGATAGTATATTCTAGTACGGCCTGTACGTGCATGTAGGAAATCGGTACCTATAACTGTATCAATAACTGAAATGTATCCTCTACTTGCAGTAAGCCTGGTAGATGGGAATATGAGTTCACCAGCTTCCACATCTTCACCTGGGCTGTTTTGTAAGACAGTCGGGCAAGCGGTCTCGTCCGGCAGGTAAGACTGTCAATAACTCCAATAGGGGGCAAGTCGTGTTCCATGCATGAGAGCGTCATGAGGGAGGCGGAGGCGTTCAACCCGACTGTCAGTCCTGAGTAGTGCTGAGTTATCGCTCGTCACTTTTTAAAGCCTCTTGGTGGATTCAAGCGCATCCGATTTATCATTAGCCGGATTCTCTAGTGTCGGTGTCACTTCCTTTCGCATGCACCTGTCGAATGTCCGGCTGGAGGCAGTGGCTGGCCTGACGAGAATGCGATTCCACGCTAAGACCAAGTCAAGATTAGCCGAGCAAGATAGCCGCGCTATAAGGAACTCAGCTGCCTACGCCGATCAGAATAGAACAGATGTAGTGGGTCAAATATCAGCTATTAATACCGCAACTCACACCAATTTAAGTGTTGCACGTAACAGTTAATACACAACTTTAAACAAATAGAGGTAGACGCAAGTTCAGAAAATACGTAATAAAATAAAATGAGCACAGGAAGTTGCGTAGAAATCGAAGTGGGACAAAGTTGTGAATAAATAAAGGTATGGTAAAGGGTTACCACATGACCACCTGTATGTACAACAGCAGTTATGGGCCAGCACGTGCCCTGCGCGGTCCGAAAAACACGTAATATGAGCCAATCCGACCCGCCGTGTTAGCCCAACTAATATTCCTCGTGGTCCAGTATGAGCTTCCTCGTCTATTGCTGCTAATAGATCAGTCGAGAGATCCTGATAATTTTTAAGGCAGGCCCTCTTCTCCCCCACGGAAGGCCATTCCACGATTTGTGAATAGTGGATGGGCAGGGTAGCTTGGGTTTGGGGGTAGCTGTAACTCTTTCTGACCTTCGCAATCTTGCAGTCATTCCTGGTTTGACCTAAGCGACTTTCTTGAATGCCGTCCTTTTGCAAACCATTATACTTTAAACCTTTAGAGCCGTCTTATTTTTTTCGCAACTGCTTTCGGAATGTATAGCCTATGCCTCCTACGCAAGAAGGACTCTAAGAGTTAATCAAATCAGTTGAAGCC